TAAGACATGAAGAAGCCAGTATTTAAATCCAGTTCTGTGTTTCTTCAAAACTCCAACTGCACTGTAGGGCCTTTCATGAGAAGTTCTTAAGTAATTAAAGCTAACATAATAGCAAGAATTTCATAAGTCCCCTTGAGATAACTCAAATCCTTGGAGTGTTATAAAACCAGGCTTGGGAGGCCTAAACAGAGACAAGGGAAATATGTGGTGGAAAATTCTCAGGCTTAAATTTAATTTCCTTCGTAACCCTTAGCAAAGGCACTAACAAGGAGTGACCAGCAGAGAAAAGGTAAGTGAGAGCTAGTGGAGCGCTGGCCTAAGCACCCTCAAGACAGGCTGGCTGAACTGCACTGACCGTTCTGGGCGGCTCCTAGTGAGAGCATCTAGCTCAGCATCTTCCAAGCTGTCAATAGTCAATAAATATTCACCAGATGAAACACTAACACAGGCAGAGTGAAAGTAAACACGAAGCACAGCTCCCACTGTTTTATTTGTAAAGCCTTCCATAATTAGAGTAAGTCCAACTACTTGGTTGAGAGGGAATCTTACTTGGAAGGATGACTAAACATATTTAGCACAGATATTTGTGTTCTTTCAGCCCCATAAGTAAAGATACACTTACAAAATACAAGGTATATCAAAGAGGGCACGTCAGGACAAAATTTCAGCCCCAAAAACTTTCCACAAAAGCGATGACTTGGGGAAATTATTGGCAAGGTCCTACTAAATAAGTGCCATCATTAACTGGTCCCACCCATGACCTAAAATAAGGGGACCTTTGGTGACAGTACATTAACTGGCCAGTCATTGGCACTGTTACCTCTAAGTGGTAATATTTCTCAGAAAATTTTAAGGACTGATGTGTTTTTCACAAACACACAATAAATGTAATTTTGACTTTTACACATGAGAAATTAAATAATTTATTTTACAAATGGCCTTGGAGTTTACATTCACTGTGTGGCTTGTTGGGTAGCAAAACTTTCATAGTTTAACTTGGCATATAAGTTCACATACAAATGTGAGCAATGTGTTTTGTCTAATCATCTGGTGTTATTTTCTCAGCACCTCAGCAATAAAAATATTGCCGAGTCTTCTTTTCTTTGCAAGTACCATGATGAAAAAAATCCTGAGTATGCTAAAGAATCCATTGCCTGCTCATGAAACATAAAGACTTATGAAAACATGGCACGTACTCAAGGAGCCTAGTTTGTTTTAAATATTTTAATAGTGTGCACTGCTGCACTGGGAACTAAATGTGCATTATGCCCAACATTACATCCAGTGTGTACTATGCTTTGATCATTCTATCAAAAGATCAAAATTTAAATATTATGTAAATTATATTTTATACATGTTCTCCTTTGCAGAAATCAAACGGCAAACTTGTTTCTTCTCTAAACACATGAGAATATAAATAAGCAACAAATTTAAACTGAAGAAAATACTCACTACTTCACTCCATTTTTTAAATGCCCTCAGGTATCAATTAAAATAAAAAGCCTTTGTGTTTTCTTAACATAATCTTAAATGTCTATGCTTATGCTTTTAAATTTTTAAGCGTAGTCTTAATATTTATTTCAAAGGTTCTTTAGCTAAATATATATGCTATTTTCATAAGAAATGCTATGTAAATCCTCTTTCTGAAAACTCTGAGAGGTTATATAAATCAATGGAAATGAGGGCAGAAATTAGAGAATATTCAATATTCAATCATCAAGAAAAGTTGTCATTTTCATAACAACTAAATGTAAAGTATGAACCTTGATTGGATTCTGGTTGTTAAGAAAAAACAACTATAAAAGACATTCTTAGGACAATGGGGAAAATGTGAACATAAACAGAATATTAGATATTATGAAATTTTTGTTAATTTTCTGAGGTGTGATAATGGTTCTGTGCTTCTTTAAGAAAATATCCTTATTCTTAGTGCATGCATTATGAATTTTTAGGACTGACATATCTGGATGACCGAAACTCACTGATGCATGAAACTGACAAATGAACCAACAATTTTTCAAAGTACTAAAAATAATAATAAATAAATAAAAAGTACTTGTACATACATATAGATATGTATAGGAAACAAATATGGCAAAATGTTAATAATAGTTGAATCTCAGTGGAGAGTATACAGATGTTCATTGTACCATTCTTCCAACCATTTTGTGTACATGAAAATTTTCACACTATAACGTTTTAGGGGAAAGAGAATAGTCATTTTCACTTATTGTATATTGAGGCCTGAACCAAACTAGGTACAGATAAAACACTGCTTTACATGGCCATAGAATGTTTCATTTTCAGTAGCAGTATGCTTCAGAGAATCAATTTTCCACCACTAACCCAGAGAAATCACGGCAGCCCTTCTGGCCAAGACCATAGGGAACAGCTGATTGACACACACCACCTGAATTAGAGCGAGGCATCAGGGTCCCCACAGGGGAAGCCGCTCTGACCAGCAAGTTTGCATGGCAATCTGTGCGCTTGGAAAAATGAAGGGGTGAGAACAGGGGCCTTGTAGCCAGGGACCTTCACAACAGACAGAACCTACAACTTAGGCTCCGTTCTTTGGAGATAACATATGACATGAAGTTAAAGCTAAATTAAACTAATAAACCATCAACTCTACTTATCCAGCCACTAAGGATGAATTATTTAATAAAGTAGACTACCAGGTTCAATAGTAAGCAAAAAAATCTGAGATGCTACCCAAAAATTAAAACGAAACCAAATAACAAAGTTCTGGAATTATATGACAATTTTTAGAGAGAAAATGTGTAAGCATTTGATTTACAGATAACTGAAGTATTAAAAATGAAACAGTCCTCTGAAACAACATACCTAGATGTTTCCTATCTACAAAAAGAGGTCTCTTTTTGTTTGGAGTCCAAAATCTCAAAGGTTCTGGGCACTAGTTCACTATGAAGTCTGAGTGCAAACCAGCCATCCATGACTTGCTGCAGAATCTGATACTCTTTTTCATTGGACCTAACTGAAACTAAGCAATAAGCACTAAATCTTCAAGAGGCCCAATGCAATCAAATGCTCTACCTCAGTTGTACCTCTTTTTTATGTCCTTTTATTTGTAACTTTTCTTTTTCTCATTCAATGTAATATTTACATTATATATTTGTTGTTCTCCCCTTCTTTTCATTCTCTTCTGTCTTTCCTCTTCCCCTCCCATTCCTCCAGGTTTAACTCCAGGCTGTGGAGCTATAAAGAGTCCTGGCATGGCCCATAAAGCCTGATCGAATCAGGCCGGGAGCTAGAATATATCTAGGAAGAATGGTTCACTTTCCTTTAACCAAAGAACCATTATCCTGTTTATGGTTCGAGGGGGCCCTTTCCCTTCTAGTTACTGCTGCCTGCCTTTGATCTTTAACCAATCATTTATACTTCTCTTTAAGAGAAGCAGGAGACCATGACACTGAAATCTCATTTTGCTTCACATTATCCTAGCAAGAGGTATGGTAGAGTAGGGTTGTAAACATCAGTAAGTTTGGGTAATATCTGTGGACTTCCCTTATGCAAGAGAGGCCTAAATTCTGTTCAATCTCCCCATTTTCTGATGTTTTCAAAGTTTCTGATCTATATGTAAGCACTAAGCTAGGACTGGAGGGAAACACAAAGAGAGTTTTTCTAAGTTCCTCGCCAGAGATATATGAATACATTGCATTTGTTTAACAAAAATTTACTGTCTATGATAACATTGCCATGAGTGAAGCATGAATTAACCACAGGCCTCCATCTCCAGGAGACCTGAATGAACCTGCTTCAAAACTATAGGGAGAATTCATCTCTGATGACAAAATTCTAGCCAAAAGCCTAGGTGGCTCCCCTGCCTCCTCCAGGCCCACAGGCCTCACATGGACCTGGGAAGAAGGTTCAACAATCAGAGCCAAGGGCCCACACTTGAAAATAGTCTGGGTGGGAAGATGCTCACAGGAGTGGAGAAATACATGCCTGAGGAGGGGGTAGGGTAGCCCTTTGGAAGCACTGGCCAATGTTTAACCCTTTGCAGCCTCTAGAAGTGATCTGAGCCACTTCCTTAGGCTTATCCTCTGCAAGCTTTTCCATTTCTTTGTCAACTAGGGATAATAATAGTCATAGGGTCTGTAAAGAGTAAATGAGTCAGGATGCATAAAGAGCTTAGAAGAAGGCCTAGCACATGATAAGCGCTGTATAAATGCTAGCTAATTGCTATTATTATAGGCTAGAAGCATACCTACAGAAAAGCCTGCAGAAAGAGCTTGCCTTCTATAATCCCCACCAACAGACCTACTACTAACCAGCAGGAAATACCCACGTCTCAATTCTTTGGTTCCCTGTTTAAGCGCCAGGATCTATGGCAGGGGTCCTTAAACTACGGCCCGCGGGCCACATGCAAATACAAATATTGTATTTGTTCCCGTTTTGTTTTTTTACTTCAAAATAAGATATGTGCAGTGTGCATAGGAATTTGTTCATAGTTTTTTTTTAAACTATAGTCCGGCCCTCCAACGGTCTGAGGGACAGTGAACTGGCCCCCTGTTTAAAAAGTTTGAGGACCCCTGATGTATGGAGTGGTCTCAGCTAAGACCAAGTGAGTTAGACTTCCTTCTGTAGCAGCTAGGTTCAGATATAAAATTGCAGTATGGCAACGTCATATGGTTAAAAATGAAAATTGAAGCGATTAAAATGGAAATCTATCTGACATGCACTTCAGAGCCCACACATTTGCAGTAAGTTCTGCAGCTTCTAACAAATGTCCCCAACGCTGCAGCACCATGACCCTCCAAAACTAACCTGGTTGAAGACACAAATTACCCTGCACGTTAGAAAGACAAATGCAATGACCTTCAACCGAGAACATGGCCCCAGAGTATGTGGCATAAACAGGTAATTGGCTGCTGCCACACCTGGGTGGCACAGTGAGTCCATTCTTCAGAACAGGCAGGTCCACTCACTTCTATGGGCTGAAGCTGTGCCACACCTGGCATGACTTCGACAATACTTACGCGTTACAATAGGGCTTCTTTTCATAGCCTTTGTAGTTGTTCATGTTGAGAGCCATCTTGCAGACTTCACAATGAAAACATCCTTTATGCCAATACTGAAAAAAAGAATTTTTTTTTTTAAATTTAGTACAATGCCAGTTCTTCCCAGGATGGGTACAGAAAGGAGATTTTTTTAGTGCATCAGAGTCCCCACCTGTATTTGAAAATACTACAACAAAATGATGGTGGGTAACAGTGGACGTGTTTGCCTACTGTCAGTTAAGTAAAATAAAGCAGCAACTATGAAAACTGCCTTTTAAATGAACCCCCACCACAATGCACAGAGAAGGAAGAGCTGCCACAGCTCTGTCCACGCTGCACTTCTACGGGCAGGCAGAATGGAATTCTGAGCTTGGTTAATGGAGGAATGAAGCCTGTGAAGTGGCTTCAAAAGGAAAACCACTCCAGTTCAAAGTGCCCACACCCGTGTCTGTAGGATCTCATCAACAATCGGTCCACAGGACGTCGGGTACCCCACGGAGCCAGGAAGCGGGCTACGCAAGGACCCTTCGCCCCCGCATCCCTGTCCAGTTTCCACTCTATTGCGGGAAAGGCGGACTCTGTCCGAAATGACTGTCAGGATGGCTGCGTGCTCTTAGGAGGCATTTTTGACACCACACGCAGACTTCACAGGCACCGCCTCCGGCTGGTTTCAATCGCCAGGCACTCAGGCTGTAGCGGCGGGGTCTGCCTCCCAGGCTGTTCAACCTCATCCGCGCCCGGGGAGGCCTGGGGCAGGGCTGCGGGGCCCGGCTAAAGCCACTTCCTCTGGAATTCCCCTGCCGGGTGGACGAGCCCCCCGGAGCCCGGCCCGCCGCACGCAGCTGGGGTTCTCCGGGGGATCATTCTAAGCACTGCGGCAGCGGCCGCCCCTGACTTATTAATTACTATTCGCCTCTCCACCTCGTCGCCGGCACGGGAGGCACCGGGCGGGGGAGAAGGCAGGGTGCGGGGCAGTGAGGAGCGGGAGTGGAGGTGGGAGGGGGCGCGGCTCGCCGATCGGCCCCCGGTGCCCGGCTAGGCGCCCGGGCCCGGGCTTGCTCCGCGGTGCGCGCTCCGCCGCAGCTCTGCCGAGGCCGGAGCAGCCCCGCACCCTCGCCGCCCGCATCCCGACAAAAGCCTCTCCGGCTCCAACACCGTCAGGAAGCGTGCTCTCCCGCGGGCGTCTTCCTTCGCGTCCCGCGCACGGAGCCAAGACCCCCACAAACACCCAGGCCACTGGTCTCTTCCCGTCCAGGATGCCAAAACTTCTCGGAGCAGGTGCAGCCCGGCGCCCTCCGCTCACCTTATCCAGGCAGTTGACTTTCTCGGGGGATACACCACTTTCCCGCAGCGGGCGCACTGAGGTTCATCGTCGCGGGTCCTCGGGGCTGCTGCTGAACGGAGCCGGCTGGGGGCTCCAAGGAGCCGTTGTGACATCCCCCGTGCGCCCCGCACCGCCTCGGGGCCGGCGGAAAGACCCTGAGCGCCGGGTCTGGAGTTGCCCCAGCTGCCTGCCATCCGGCCGCGCCCGGGAAGCGGCGTGGCCAGTGGGTACCCCGCGGGCCCGGGACCTGAGGAAAACGCGTTCTCGGGTCCGCTCGATCGGCTTCGGGGGGAGCGTTCCTTTTGATCCCTGCGCCCAGGACCTGGATTTCAAAATCG